ATCTACCAACGCATCGTCCAGAGAACGAGCCCAGTACAACGCGACACGCTCAAAGTCCTCCGTTTGGCGAAGCAACTCGGCATCATCGGCCTCGTTGCGAGCGGGCTCAGTCAAACCCAACGCAACATCGTGCGTCCACACCGTCTTGGCAAAGATGGGTCTGTCGCGTGACGAGTCCTGTTCGCCGACCTTGTTAAGAGACAAGCCTTCGACTTGGGCGAGAGTGCGACCGGACACCCCATCATACAAGCTCAGGTCGCCAACAACGGAAGATGCGGTACGCTTGACAGCCCAACTCTCGAAGTCGGTCTTGACGCTGCCAGTCTCATCCCTCTGTGCCACGATGGGGCTGACGCGGACGCGGCGTACATGCGAGGGCAGCAACGCGGAAGTGATTAAGCCACTAGCGGGGTGTGCCAAAGCAACGAACAACGTTTGGAACGCAACGTCGAGGACTGCAGGATGCATGATCATGTCGCTTCTAGCCAATTTGTGCTCGGGCCAGACGCCTGTTGCGCTTGAGTAGTCCAAGACGCGCTGGCTGTTGACGAGGGCATGGAAGGGGCCAGAGTAGGACAGGCCAACTTTGTCGAACATGCCATAGACACGCTTGCAGTCAACATCCACAGTGTGCTGATTCTCAAGATCACGAGGCGGTAGGATCGGCTCGCCCTCGGCCAGTTGTCCAAGATGGACAGCCAATTCGCCTTTGCAGACATGCAGCATCGACGTGCCTGCGGGATCAGCGCGAACGTAGTACGCGAACTCGGCACGCAGGGTATCCTTTGAAGGCGGTCCTCCTTCCTTTTGTCGAACACTGAAGACTGCCTCAACGCCCTCCTTATTGTCAGGGATGACTACCGGACGGAGAATATCCACGTTCTCAACCTCGAACAGGCGCACATCACGACCGGCAGCCTTGGCGATCTCACGTCCAGCTTCAACCGCCATTGACATATAAGCTGCAGCGGGGAGCAAGACTTCGCCAAGGACTGTGTGGCCACGGAGCCAGGGCACCTCATGCAGGCGGAGAAGGTTCCGCCAACGAAGTTCGCGCTGGTTGTCGTCGATAGCGCGGCGGCCGAGGAGCTCGTGGTGGCGCTCGTCGGCAAGACGGAAGCGACGGGACATGGTCGACTCACGCCAGTAGACCCTTTCGTGTTCCCACGAGTAGGTCGGAAGATCCTTGAGAACCCTTGGTGCCGGCGCTTGACCCTCCTCATAGAAGGCTTCACGGTAACCCTTGAAGTCCAGTGTCGATGGACCGAGCTGGGCCCAGACGGTGCCGATGGCAGCGGAAAATGCCTCGAAATCGGATGAACCCCGCTTCAGCACGCCGTTGTACAAAGGAACGGAGCCGTACACGTTCTTGAGAGTCTGTTCTACAGGTCCCTTAAGAGCCGGGTGCGGGCCAACCTCGATTGCTAAATCAAAAGGTCCGCCGTGCCAGATGGAAGACTCGATGGCCTGGGAGAACAGAACAGTCTGTACCATGTTCGAAACCCAGTACGGGCCTTTCAACTCGCTCAAACCGCCCTTGAGCAGCTCGGTGTCGCCGCGCACACTGGAACTCCAGATAGCCTTGCCAGGCTTCGGCTGTGAGATCTGGATGTCGCACGCCAACAAGCTTCGGAGGTATGGCTCTGCACAGGGTTGCATGTGATGCGAGTGGTACGCGGTGTCAACCTTCAAGGCACGTGCAAAGACATCATCGGCGGTGAGCATCTCTCTTGCCTCCTCGATGGCATCCGCGTCTCCAGAGAGCGTCACGGTAGACGGCGCATTGCTGGCAGCCACGCGCAGACGTCCCTCGAACTGCGGTTTTCCGCAAAGAAGCATGGCCTTGGCAAGCGAGAGACCCGCGGCAAGCATAGCGCCCTTCTGACCTTTGGCACCCTTTGCGAGGCGGGCGTGGAGGCCGCGGTAGTAGGCGATCTGCATGGCGGCGCGGCGGTTGATGATACCCGATGCGTAGACAGCGGCGATCTCACCGGAGGAGTGGCCGACGACGGCATCGAAGACGACGCCGGATGCAGTGAGAAGATCAATGAGGCCGAGCTGAACAGCGGTACAGACGGGCTGCGATAGAGCTGCTTCACCGAGGCGAGAAGACGACTGCTCGGCCTGAAGCTCTTCAATAAGAGACCAAGCTGGTGCATCAGCAGCGGGAAGATTGCGCAGGGTCTCTTCGCACTCTTCGAGAGTCTTGCGGAAGAGCGGGGAGCAGGCTAGAAGTTGCCTTCCCATCGTAGCCCACTGAGCACCTTGGCCGGTGAAGACGCCGAGAACACCAGGAACTTCTTTGGGATTGAGAAGGCGGGGCTGGTATCCGACGTTGCTGCTGGATGACTTGGATTCGGTTGCAACCCATTCCTCCATGTTGGCAATGATCGCGTCCCTAGAAGACCCGGAGAAGTGCGTGCGGACGCGGTGGGTGGTACGGCGTGTCTGAAGAACCCAGCTTAAGTCGCCGAGATCGAGATCGGGATGAGCCTTGATGTGCTCCAAATGAGCTTGAACAGACCGCAAAAGGGAATGGCCAGATGCGGCAGAAAACATCAAGGGGCCGATGACGCCGCCGGTCGGTTTGTGATCCGAAGTGGCCTCCTCGAAGCTTTCGAGAATGGCGTGGGAGTTCGTCCCGCCGAAACCGAAGCTGTTCACGCTGGCGCGAGCCGGAACGCCCTGTGCCAGCTTAGGCCAGGGAATCGGGGCCGTGGGGATCTGCAGCGGGCCGTAGAACTTCTTGATGGCTGGGTTGAGTTCGTTGAAGTGCAGGTTTGGCGGGATAGTGCGGTTCTTGATGGCGAGGAGTGCCTTCATGACGCCAGCCAAACCGGCACAGCCCTCCAAGTGTCCGATGATGGTCTTGATTGAGCCAACGTACAACGGATGATCGTCGGTGTTCGAGCCGGGTGCAACTGCGAAGGCCTCGCTGACGGCGCGCGCCTCGACGGGATCACCTGCAGGCGTTCCTGTGCCGTGGCACTCGACTGAAGATTGACATATTAGTGTTGATGAAGATTAAGGAGGGAAAGACCAAGAAACTCACAATACTGCGGCCGGTCGATGATTGGATCCAGACCAGCACGCTGATAGGTACTGTGAATCAGGGCCTTCTGCGTCGGAGCAAAAGGCATCGTGATACCGGGACTAAGGCCATCAGAGTTGACGCCTGTTCCGCGGATGAGACCCTCAATGTGATCGCCGTCCTCCAAGGCACGGCTCAGCCTCTTCAGGATCACAGCCGATGTACCTTCACCTCTGGCATAACCGTTAGCGTCCTTATCCCACATCCGTGAGCGCGCATCAGGGGAAAGCATGTGAAGCTTCGACTCGGTGATATACACGCTCGGGTCCAGAATGAGATTGACACCCGCTACGACAGCCGTCTCGCTATCACCATTGAGCAAGCCCTGTGCACCATAGTGCAGGGCAACAAGGGAGCTAGAGCACGCAGTGTCGATGGTTGCAGAGGGTCCCTTGAGATCGAAGATGTAGGATATACGATTTGACATGATGCTATAGGCCGTACCCGTGGCGGCGTACTGGGCCAGAGTCTCGGGATCTCTGAGCTGGATTTGTGCCCAGTCGTTGGTCATGACGCCGACGTGAACGGAGGTAAGCGAGCCGCGAAGCTGCTCAAGAGTGAGGCCCGCAGACTCGAACGCCTCGTATACTATCTCAAGCAACTGGCGCTGCTGTGGGTCCATGCCCTCTGCCTCCTTGGGCGCGATGCCGAAAAAGGAGGCGTCGAACTTGCGGCTGTCATGGTCCGGGCCGAGGGTGTATGATTTATTTGTGACGTTGGTCGAACCGTGGTGCTCGCCGTCACGGTGGTAGAATCGGTTGAGACTGATGCGCTCCGGGTCGAACTCCTGAAGCAGATCGCGAGGCTTCTGAAGAAGATCCCACAGTCTTGAAGGGGAGGTCGAGCCGCCGGGGAAGCGGCAGGATGAGCCTATGATGGCGATGGGCTCCTTGGCGTAGTCGTGCGTGGCCATTGTGGGATACGAGTCTATGCCTCGGGCGTGAGCATTGACGTATGGTTGGCGATGAATAGTTCGTGATTTACCTATGATATGATTGGACGTATCTTATGAAAGTAAATCGACCAAGATGCACCAGATTTTATACTCTTTGCGATACGAAGAGGTGTAATACGATATGTGGACGTATGGCTCTCTTGTCTGAGGATCGAGAGCAACAATGGCTAATGTTGACAAAATGACGATAATGACGATGTTGATGGGCCGAATCTGCTTGAAATATTGCACCGCATACTCGCCATTGACGGTATCTACAAGATTAGCACTACAGAGCTCACAGGGTTCCTTATCCCTTCGAGCTTCAAGACCGAGTGGCGGGATCATTCCGAGTGGCAAGGGACCTTTCGGAAAATGTGCAGCCTCGTAGGATTCCCCGGTGGCGTGGGGCCGCGAACAAGGGGCGGCGGCCATTTCGAAGCTTGTTCTTTACTCCGCGTGCGTCTAGGGGACGGGAACCTGCACTTATAGAAGCGGTTTCATAGGATCCATTCTCCTTTAGGAAGTTCGGATAAGACGAAACTGGAGATTAGGAACGGGTTTTGTTTTTGGCCAGTACCATGTCAGCGGCGCTTCTTTGGCAGATGGAATCTGACGGGCGCCACCTGCGGGAACCAAGGCGGCGGCAGACCGGCCGCAAACCCCGTCTTACTCCGCTGACTGGAGGATTTGAGAGGATATGCTCCGGGCGGGTTCCGGAGGTCGTGGAAGCTAGCCATACAGCCACGGGCTATTTTGAGACTTCATCTCGGGGCAGATAGGGCTGATATGCACTCGCATATCTGTCTCTTGGGCTTTTATGTCGGCTCCGTTCCACCAGTCCAGCGCCACATCATCGGGAGCATCACTTGATACTTCAACCTTCAGACTTCAAATTTCAAACTTTAGATCCCTCCTAATTCGTGAGAAAGGAGAAACCCGCGAAGGGGTAGACCAACACCGCAAATCCTCAGAATGGTGCTATCAAACACCCTCCCGTCAACGCAGACGGCGTTGAAAATCACCGGCTCCAGCGCTGTTGCGCTACAACAAGACACTGCCCTACCAGAAATCCAACCCTCGGATGTCCTAGTTCGTGTCGCCTATGTTTCGATAGGTCCCGTCGACAGCAAGTCCGCCGAGATGTCCCCAGCGGTCGGCGCAACCAGCGGCACTGAGTTCGCGGGTGTCATCGTTGCCTTGGGAATATCCGTCGCAAGATCTGACAACGCCGTCCGCGTGAAGCGCCATATGCGCCAGCTGGAAATTGGTGACCGCGTCGTTGGCGGAATATTTGGCAACAACCCTCTCCGCCGTGACAACGGCGCCTTCGCCGAATACGTCGCCGTTCCGGCACGGCTCATCTGGCATGTCCCCACGAGCATGGATCTCGCGGCGGCGGTGACACTACCCACCGCACTCGCAACTGTCGGGTTGTCGCTGTTCCAGTACATGAAGCTTCCGATGCCATCGCCTAATTCCTCAGCCGACCATGACACGGCGGGCTCATGGGTGCTGGTGCACGGCGGCGGCACGTCGACAGGGTGCATGGCGATCCAAGTGCTTAAGTGGGCGGGATTCAGAATCGTAACCACATGCGGTTCGGCAGAGAGCAAGGCGCGCGCCGAGAGCCTCGGTGCGGAAGTCGTCTTCGATTACCACTCGCCGACCTGCGGATCGGAGATCCTAGAGCATACCGAAGGCGCTCTGGGACTTGCTCTCGACTGTATTACGGATACCTCGTCGATGGCGCTGTGTTACGAAGCGCTGGGGAGCAAGGGAGGCCGGTATGTCGGCCTAGACTTCTTCCCCCTGCGCGGCCACACGCGTCGAAGTGTTGTGCCTGACTGGGTATGCACGTACACGCAGTTTGGTAACCCGGTCGCGTGGGCGCCGCCGTACAACCTCGACGCGAGGCCGGAGGATTTGAGATGCGCGGAAGCATGGTACTCAGTCTCACAACGCTTGCTGGATGAAGGCATGATTGACCCGCATCCGAGAGAAGACCGGAGCGGAGGGCTGGCCGCTGTTGGAGAGGGGATGAAGGAGGTAAGGCAGGGTCAGGTCAAGGGCAAGAAGTTGGTTTACTGTGTGTCTGACGCGCTGGCGGTAGCCGTAGCATAAGAAGCAGTAGTGGCGTTTGATGTCAGATAGACCATTTCGTCCCAACTGCGTTCGGTTCTTTAGTCTGGCATTCCGAATAGGAGTCAATGAGATCTTGGAAATTGCGCAGAAAACGAGCTTGTTGCAACACAGGAAACTGAGTCATGTACATTCGCACGGATCATCGAACAAGTGCTGCCAGCTGGCAGAATTTCAGCACGATCATTCAATTGCGTTTGCATCGATCTGCCGCGGAACGACCTTACAAGTTTCTCAGTACCATGGCAATCGGTAGTAAACTTCGGACACCCTGAGTCCCACCAGACAAACGATCCAGGCTAGAAACTTGATGACATGCTGTGTAGCTAGGGCCCAGACGTTGTCAATTCAATGAAGCAAGTGATGGTCATCGACGGATATGGAATACGGGGATCACCACCTGATACACAAATGAGGCAGGCCTCCGGCGAAACAAAGACGGTGCTGACAGAATCCCGTCCTGACACTGCATTTCTCTTGCTCCGCGGCGGGAAATCGGACTAAAGGCCCACAGCTGGCACACATTCAGCACCACATGGAATCTGGCGGAGAATCTCTGGGGTGCGCTCGGTACGTATGCTTACACGTTTCCTCCACTATTTCGTTGACTGTCTGCCTCATCCAATCATATGTGAGTAATGGATACTGGATCTAACCGCATGTAGAACAGACTCCGGCCGGTGTACAATGGGTCGGAGTATTTGGAGGCGTGAACAAGCTGAATAACCCGTACGGATACTCAAAGCCCAATTCAGCAATCAGCCGCTTGACGGCAAATATGCCCGGAATTTATGGAAAACACCATCATACTTTTATAGTCCGTGTTGGCGTGCTGGGAAGATCAAATCCATTTGCTATGCCTAGCAGTCTGGCAGTTGGCCTCATTTTCTACATGAGTTTTGTGTTTCGATATTTGAATCAACGCTTGTATCAAGTCAGTGGGTAAATCTCAGTGTTCCACGCATTCCATTTAGACAAGTTCATTATGGCTATGAAGAAAGGAACCATTCTTGTAACCGGTGCTAGTGTACGCAATTCCCAAACTGTATCTGCTCTCCAGAGTAGCTCTGAAGTGCCCGCTCGTCTTACTAACATCAACTGCATCCAGGGCGGTCTCGGAGTCGCACTTGCATCTCATGTTTCAACAGTCTATCCGGCCTACCACGGCATCTTCACGGTCCGCAACGCCTCCGCTCCCAATGCCTCGCTAGAAGCAGCCATTGGCCCCAACACGTCTCACGAGGTCCTATCACTCGACTTGGGCAACAACGCCAGCATTCGTGCTGCCGCGGCCTCCATCAATCAACGCGTCTCATCCGGCGCCATCCCCCCTATCAGAGTGCTCGTCCTTAACGCCGGCTTCTTAGAGTTCGCAGAGCAGACATACTCGAAAGACGGCTTCGATATGAGCTTCGCGGCGAACTACCTCGGTCACTTCCTCCTCACATTGCTTCTCTTGGAGAGCCTTGCCAAAGAGCGCGGGAGAGTGGTTTGGGTAGGGAGTAACGTGCATGACCCCTCTCGCCCGGGCATCTCGGCGCGAATCTACCCGGATGAGAAGTGGCAAACGTTCATGCGGGATGGAACTGCGGATGGGATTGCCAAGGGGACGTGGAGCTCCAAGGAAGATGACCCGACTTTCCGGAGCGGCTTCCGTAGGTACGGCGCAGCGAAGATGTGTGTTGCCATATCGGTGTAAGGATTTTCCATCCTGCTCACACGGAAAGATACTGACATTCTCTCTGTGAAGGGGCGAGCTTCAGAAGCGGCTCGCAGCGGACCCAGCTTTGAAAGGTGTCACTTCCATAGGTATTGACCCTGGTACGATGGGCACCGGGATGCTGCGGCGGAGTCATTGGCTCATTCGGAACTTCCCCAGATGGATCTTGATCGCAGCGGTTACGAAAACTCGGGAGTATTTTTGGCCTGGAAGTACTGGTCCGATGCGTACTGTTCATGTATCAGCGAGGGATATCATGGAAGCTGGTATGAATGACCAAGGAAATGTAGCCGGCGGGGCCTACTTGGATGGCACGCAGCCCGTGGAGGTTAGTGCCGAAGCGAGTGATTTGGAGAAGAGACAAATCTTATGGAGAGACAGCGTTGGGTACGTAAAGCTTCAGAAAGGGGAGACGGCTCTGGCGGATTGGAAGTAACAGTTATTGTTTGGTACGTTGCGTCAATGCATGAATCTAATTACAACGTGATTTTTTCCCCCGTGGCTATAGGTTGTCTGTCAAGAACTGAGTCGCAACAACTGTTTCCTCGTACGTCCGCATTGTGATATCTTCACGATGCATTCTTACAATTTCAACAAAGCAGCTTGTCGAGGCAGCTCTGTCAAAACCTCTCTATGAGACGACGCTCAATTTGAAAAGAAGGTAGCACGCAAATACTCTGCCCTTCTCAGCAATTCGTTCTCATGTTCAGCGCAACGACATGTTGGCCTTGGGTCTGTGGCTGGAGCAAACGCAATGAATTGAAAAGATATGCAGGACTTACACTTTTGTGATTCACTGGTGTACATACTTCTGATACGATGAGAAGTTATTCTATTAAAGATATGAATCTCTTTCTCCTGGAATACCTTCTGAATGCAGGTGAGACTCTGTGTCTGAGAAGTTCCATGAACCGGGTCATATACTTTCAGTGTTGCTGCAAGGTGCTGTGGACTAATCCTTTTGAGCATTGAATTGGGGAATATGTTGTTTTTTGTAAACGTCTGCACGTTATTTCGAAAAGCTATGCGTACCCTCATCTGCAAACTACTACATGTTTTCGACCTAACAAAGAAAAGCAGTTTCCATTTAGTTGACATTAGGCTCATCACTTGTATAGAGCAATCTTGACACCATGCTTGTTTGACGGCCCAATCCGCATAACCGGCTGGTATGGCTTTGAGTCCCTCGACTCCAGACGTCGATACTTCTGTGCGATGCGCACCAACATGTACGCACACTCGGTCTGCACCATCATCTGCGCCGGGCACCTACGCGGCCCACCTCCGTACGGGACGAAGCCCCAGGTTCCGCGACGACCAACCCACCGCTCGGGGCGATACTCATCAGCGTCGGTGCCCCAGTAGTCCGGGTCGCGGTACATGACGTTCTTGGAAACGGTTACAATGTCGCCTTTGCGGACGGCCAGCGGAGCCTGGCCGTCCTTGCCTCCCCCAATGGGGAGGACCGTGTCTGCTACACATGCACGAACTTGGGTCACGTTGTTTGGAATCAGGCGATGGGCTGGAAGGGAGCAACAATCTCAGTATTGCTCTGACACTTAAGTTTGAGGGGAAGCGAACTTACTCTCGTTCATGACGCCATTGAGATATACCATGTTTCTCAACGCGTCGAAAGTCAGTGGCTTGTCGCCGTGCTCAGCTACCTCTTGGCGCAGTTTTTCCCACGCCTCAGGGTGTCGAGCAAGATACCAGATGCAGTTGGCGATGAACATGGACGTGGTGTCATTCGTTGGCACGATAATGAGACAGACCTGGGAGCGCAGTCCCTCAAGGTCGTTTCTCATCTGCTGGGCCATGATCCAAAGAAGATCAGTACGTTCCGGGCCAAGGTCTTGGCCATTCTTGCGGGCCAGGTCCCGCTCGTCCAATTCCTTATATGTGGCGATAATGTGGGCGTTGACAATAGCGTGAATGTCGTTGATAGCCTCGAGCCACCAGCCCCAGTTGAAAGCCCACATAAAACGGTCTAGATTCCCGGTCAGCATGCTGCATTAATCCTGAGTAGCGTATTGGTGACTTCGACATGAGAAGGAAAACTCACGGGATTGGGCTCGCAAACGTGCGCCTCGCAGCGCAGTCACCATATCAGTCGCAAACTTGACCTTGGATGGATCAATCAGCGAGTCCATTGACTTGCCGAAGATGAAGTCGCTGTTGATATCCAAGAACCATCTCTGCAGCAACGGCTGCACATCAAAGGTCTCGCCGTCGACGGCCGGAAACAGGGCCATGAAAGAATCAGCAAAAGACTCGATACGGCCAGTGTCGTGGTACACATCGCGCTCGAAAAATGGCTGAATCAGTGCGCGACTGAACTGCCAATCCTCGCCGTCGGTTGTGTTGACACCCTTATCGGCGAAGGGCATAGTGAACTTGGAGTTGCGGCGGATGGGCTCGACGCCGAAGTCCTTGAATTTGGTCGAGTAGACGGCTTTGAGGATGTCCGGCTCGATAGTGTAAATCCAGCGCCCCGTGAAGAACTGGAGGGAGAAAGTCTTGGATTTCTTGTGGCCTTTGTGAAGAGCTTGGAGCCAGTCGAGATAGGTGTCTGTCTTCAGCGCTGTAATCTGGCCATATACGGTATCTAGACCTAGGAAAGGATCCCATTGCCAGAGGCGAGAAGCAGGTAAGCCGCCTTCATTGTCGGATTTGCTATTGATGAAAGGTCTGCTGAGGAGGACGGCAATGAGGCATGTTGATACGACAAGCAGGGGGACTCTGTAGTCATGTATGCTTTGGAGCCATTGCTGGCCTTGCGCCGTGTTGAAATCGTCGGTTACGTTAACGTTCATCTCAGCTGATACGTAAGGACGTTTTGGCAACCGGTAGCTTGTTCAACGACAGCAAAAGACTGAAAATGCAGGCCGGTCGATGAGTGATATAAAACACTGAAGAAGACGATTTGAAATTATTCAGGCTCCTCGATCAACTCACTTATTATTCCGAAAAGTAAATGTGACAGCATGTTTGGATTCAATTTTCGACTGATGCCGTCTTTAACCTTTCGTCTGATTGGCTTTCGACCGCTCTCCACTGCTGACGGGTTTTGACGTCTAGATGGACAAAATCCCGAAATACGTACATGGCGCATTTTAACCCGAATTCCCCGTCTTATTCCCCGGGGATCTGACAGGCGGCAAGCTGCGGTTTTCTGACATCGGCGCTTATGGTCAGAGAGGAGGGCTTATTCCGATTGATTGTCCAATTAGAGGACAGTCTTTGGTAGATTGTCCCGAAACAACGGCTGCTCAAGGGCTGTACACTTACACGGGAACAACATACTGTCGGGGCGAAGGAGCCTTACCTGCGACAATTATCCTGGCCAGGTTGCACCATTAGACGGGGAAACGATTGACGCATGTAATCCATTTCGCCGAGACTCTGCTCACAGCGCCATTGAGCGAATACTTATATTGACAAAATTGTTGAATAAGACACCCCCAAATTTAAGCCCTTTCCGCCGCTCATAATTACAAAATTATCAGATTATAACGCTTTTTGCTCGATACTAGAAACAATCATTCTTCAATTTGACCCAGAAGCCTCAAAATCCAACACAGACATCATTCACCATGCCTTCTGCCACAACCCAGCTCCCTTCCGCATCTCTTGCAAACCAGGCAGACAAGCTTGAAGAGCTCGCTGTCAAGTTGACATCCGCGGCGAAGACCATGCGCGCGGGTAATGAACCTTCCCAGAAGGAGCACGACACACTTGTCTCTACGATCCGCAATGTCGGCAATGCGGTACACACACCATTAGATGACGTATATGACACCAGCATGGCGTGGTGTAAGGCTGCTGCCATCCGCCTCCTGGTAAACTGGAAGGTCTTCGAAAACATACCCGAATCAGGATTTATCCGCTATCAAGATCTCGCCGAGAAGGTTGGCGGAGATGCGGTTCTCATCAGTAAGCAGCTCGACTAGTCCGCCCATCAGCAACAGAACATTCGACTCACATCTTGAATTAGGGCGCGTATGCTGGGTCTTGGTTGCGACTGGTTTCCTTGAGCAAAGGGGCCACGACCAAATCGGCCACACCTCACACACGCGCATTTTTGCCAATTCCACCACATCGAACGCAAACGCCTCATTGTGGATGGTGATATGCGACGAATGGATGCACCCTCTCCTCGCGATGCCCGACTACTACGAGAAATTCGGTATCAAGGAGCCCACGGGCCGGCTGCACTCTATCAAAGCATTTGGTGAAGGCCAGCCCGAGCTCACGGTCGCTCAGATCATGAGCCTGCATCCTAAGCGGGTCGCCCACATTCATCTTTCTATGCCTCTCATGGACGGCGCATATCCCCAGACCGGGTTCTACGATTTCTCGTGGATTGCTGATCGGGCCGCCAAAGAACCCCACAGCCGGAAAGTAATTGTGGATGTTGGCGGTGGCAAGGGCTGGACGCTGCAAAGAATTGTCAACGAGAACGAGGGTATTCCCATGGAGCGATGCGTGTTGCAGGATTTGCCTGGTGTGATCTCGTTCGTCGAAAAACACGGAGACGAGAATATCAAAAGGGCAACTCTGATGCCGATTGATTTCCACAAGGAACAGCCGGTTCAAGGTGAGTTTATAAATGCAACCTATTCGACCGAGACGACGATTGTTTTCTGACTGAAGTTAAGGTGCCTTGGTCTACTCGGTCCGTCGCTGCTTGCGTGACTTTGGAGACGACGAGGCTGTCGACATTCTCAAGCGCGTCGTCGACGCCATGGCCCCAGACAGCAAATTACTGATCGCCGATACCGTGGCGACAAACCCTCCTTCTTTCCTCGTGGCAGCAATTGACTTCTTCCTATCAACTATGGGTGGCAAGGAGAGGACGGAGGAGGAATTCTGCAACATCGCTGTACGAGCTGGATTGAAGGTTACGGGCGTGCACTACTCTGACATTTCGGAGTTTGCCATGATAGAGTGTGAGAAAGCGTAAATCATGTAGATGGAAGAGTTCTCGTCGATGTTTGCTCTGCGCAGAATGTCTAAATGTCAAGTTGGAACCTAATTATTGATCGCATGCCCCATCATGGTGATGGTCTCGTGGTTATGAGACTGAAACTACAACGCCCTATTTCCTTCGCAAAGTCTTGTTGATTGGGAACATGATGGTCAGTACTTATGTTTATAAGTGTGTTTTGCGGATCAAGCTTGGAGACGGTAGACGGGTCAGCGAGCAGAACCTGTGTCGGTACACACATGTGTTGGTCGCTTGACCATTTCCGTGTGGAAACGATGACCTTCCCATTCGCAAATGCACATAATTAGCCACCAGAAAAAGAGCACATGGGCCCAAACACTGACTCCAAACTTGGCAGACGAATTTCTGAATGATGAGGGCTGAATTCTAATCATTGAAACCGTTTGACTGTTGTCAATCATGATCTCTGCATACAAGCCCAACTTTAAAACACGAAATCCCCAGATTTCATATCGTCATTGAAGACCCAATCCTCCATCCCTTGCCACAACTCCATAGGTTCTGGCAGCTGTCCCAGTATGTCATCAATAGTCTCCGCGCCAGCGGCATCCATCCCTACTTCTTCCGCCATGCGTTCCAGAATTGGCAGACACTTCTCCTCCACACCCTTCACAGCTTTGATCAACTCGCCAGCAACCTCATCCTTCTTCATCAATCCCATCATGCTCCTTATCTGTGCTGCTACCAGATTCATAAGCAAGTATCCCTTCACGTTTGTCTCTCCGGCCTCGATGACCCGCAAACACCACATGCGCGCCTCTTCCATCACAGACATGAGGTCCGGCCGCAGAGGCGTGGGACCAAGAAGGCTGTACTCTTCCTCTTCCTGAAGCTGGGAGCGCAAATCGAGGGCGATCAAGAGCGCGGCGTGAAAAGTGGCAGTCTGATAGAATCCGGAGCTGCACGACGCCAAGCGAGGCAGGTCTGACTCGGTCTCGCCAACGCCCGGGTTTAATTGGAGACCATTGGAGGCGATAGCCGGGGGCGGGCACGCAGCACGCCAGATACGGAGTGAAGACTCGACCACGGCCTTTTGTGAGTATGTGTATGCCGTACCATGTGCAGGACCGAAGTATGGCGCGTGCAGGGATATGAGGTAACGCTGCATGTGGAAGTCGACAAGCTGGACCTCAGACTTTGCATTTTGAGCTTGTGAAGAGGAGCTGCTGAAGGCTGTGCGCAAGATTCGACTCAATCCCTTGAACGCTTCTCGCAGTTCAGTGTCGATACGTAGGGTATCCTCATACGTTCCTGGTGACACACGGAGACCGTTAAGAAAGTTCACTACTGCGAGACGTTGCGGGAAGGTCTGGCGCAGGGCGATCGCAACCGAAACCTGCGTAAATGTACTCGGCGGCCTAGGAGTTGGCCCATCGGCTTCTAGCTGCTCTTCGTCAAAGTTACCAGGGGGCGCGGTGTCAAAGTCGGACATGGATATGAGCGGCGCTCCGCCGGAGCTTAGACTAGCTTGGAGATCCACCTCCAGCACAGTGTTCCAGAGACGCCGCCGCATCTCGGCCTCGTAAGCGGAACGGCCAGGGAGGTGGTTGGGGTCGCGATGCAATCCCATGTGCATCGCCTTGCGCAGGATGGTGCCAGAGAGAACCCATGTAGAGTCACCCGCAACACCAACACGTTCCTGGGCGAAAAGGAGTAGGAGGTTGGTTTGTAAGAATTGGATGTTCAAGCGAACCTTGAAATTAGGCTCGGCCAACCAGACTTGGGCCTCATATACCCACAGAATCGCCGACGTTCGAAGTGAAAATTCGTCATCGTATGTGACGGCGCCAATGGCAAGGACCAGTTTCAACTGTACGAGAAAGCCGGGGTCGGGGACTGTGTCATTGACCCAGAGCGCTTCATATTGCCGCCGGAAGGTGGGCAGATGAAGAATGCGGTATATGGACTCAGTTGTGCGGAGATAATTGTCGAGCAGAGTGTCGGCAACCTCTTTGCTAGGGAGTTTCGAGTTCGGCGGCGGCGGCCACGCTGGTGTTCGTCGGGCTTTGACGTACCGAGCCAAGGACTTGCATCTTCCTATACCAGCCCAATTCGTATCGGGCGTGCCTTCATACTGTCCGAGAGTGCTGAAGATGTCACGAATCTGCGTCAACGGTCAGTATATGCCATGGGTGACTGACACACAGCCACGTGGGATTTGATGAGGTCTTGCCAAATGTGCAGTGCTAACTGCCCAGTGACTTTGTCCAAGCAAGCGCGTCTTGAAACTAAGGCCATTCGCTATCAGGGGTTGATCTTGGCCCAGGATTGTGTCTCTGGTCGAATGAATATGAAATGTGCCTCCAAGTTGTGAGCTGATGATCTCCACATCCGCATCCATCGCAGACGCGCGGACTGTAGCAGGTGCCGGAGACAATGATACAGCTGGGGACGATAAAGTGACTGGAGAACGACGAGGAATGGACTGAGATTGGTCTGATAGTTGACTCTCCAGCTGCTGCATTCTGAGTTGCAGCCTGAGCGCTTCCGTGCCATGACAGGATTGGCCACTGGCACTGGCTGGTTTCGACGGCTGTGTCCAGCTATTGGCGGCTAATGAGCCTGACATTGACGGAAAGCCGGTCGATGTCTGCCTGGATATACCGCTGCTCGACGGTGTCAAATACTGAGATTGCGGCTGCGCCGCTTGATCTGGTGCATGCTGCGTCTTGTCGCTCGAAGACACTGAAGGTGGTACCTGAGACTGGTTGGGGGCGTCATTCTCGTACGCACATCCGCTGGCCCCAGTCTTGGACCGCAGACAATTAGAACACGGCCTAGCACGATTGCATCGGATCTTGCGCTTATGGCAGAGGGTACATGATGTAGCTGGCCGACGGCTTCGGCGCCGTGCCTGGCCGTCAGGTGTGGGACCTTGCATGTCTCGTTGCACTGCAGCGGGATTCGTTAGTCAATAGCAAGACCGGGGAAAAAATAACGATCCTTGGCGTGAAGTCTGCAGTTGCCTCAAAGTTGACTCACGTTACCTGTGTTGTGTTCAAATTGCTTAGGTGGCCGCGAGTTCGTAAATATGTCCGTCAACTGTTGATGAAATAGAAACCAGAATTATCTGAAGATGAATTTGGTACTAAAAACAGTCGAAGTAGTTGTTCGAATTTGTTAGTGATACCCTTATGAGACGAAAACTTCTCGAATGGACGGATCTGACAAACGCGAGGGGGAAAGTGGACCTAAAAAGCCGACCGATGTCGAGGTTGTGAGGCAACCTTAAGGGAGAATTTCGAAAACAAGGACAAGATTGCCATCTGATGACGCTTGGCGCGCGGTGGACACGGGAATATGTTGGACTGACCCCATTTCCGAAGGAACTTCACCAATCAGGCAAATTACCGTGATCCACCGATCTTCGCGGCAGAGGGACATCTTCGGCTTAGCCGACTTTTGAGCGAATTTCCCGACTCCGATCCCGAGTCCGGACGCCGAGTCCGAGTCCGTCCACGGGGTGTTTACAAGACGGGGCCGCCGTCTGCGGTTTTATATATTCGGTCTTCCTCCGTGCCCTTAAGGTCGATCGAAAAGCCATTACATCGGTATCACGCATCAAATAACAAACGATAAAACTCCGACATCAAGAAAAACAAAAACAACACGGCAACGGCCACAAAGTTACGAAGCTGGAAATCGACTTTCTTCCATCTTACGCCTGGCAAAATCCGATAATGTCGCTCGAGAAGACTTCAAGAGCGGGCTCGCCCAGCGAGCTCGACGGCCACGCAGGTCCACACTCTTCTACCGGCGAGCACGACGGTGCTCACTCCACCAACTCTCTCAATCACGACAACGAGAAAGCCACAAATGACCCAAACGCAGCTCCCGATGGTGGTTTCCGCGCTTGGATGGTTGCAGCTGGCTCTGCGACAATCTTTTTCTGCACTCTTGGTCTTTCCAACTCATTCGGCATCTTCCAAGAATACTACATGACGCATCAGTTGCAGGGCCAGTCCGCTTCCAACATCTCTTGGATCGGTTCCACGCAGTCTTTCCTCCAGTTCTTCACCGGCATGCTCGCGGGGCCCTTGTTCGATCGCCATGGCGCTTTGGTAAGGATATTTCCCTCCTCGTATGCTGTGGAAACCTCAATCTGAATTGATACTAACACCATCTACCAGATCATGTACCCCGCCGCCGTCCTCTATGTCTTCGCTCTTATGATGCTTTCCCTCTGTTCCAAGTACTGGCATTTCATGCTGGTCCAAGGCATTCTCATGGGACTCGTCCAAGGCTTCCTCCAAATCCCCGCCTTCGCCGCCGTCGCCCAGTATTTCGATAAGAAGCGGGCTGCTGCGCTTGGTCTTGCGGTTGCTGGCTCGTCTGTCGGCGGCGTCGTCATGCCCATCATCTTGTCAAAGTTGCTCAACAGCTCGCCCATCAGCTTCGGCTGGTCTGTGCGCATCGTCGGCTTCATTGTCCTCTTCTTTATGACCTTTGCCGTCATCTCCGTCAAGCCTCGCGTGCCGCCCCGAAAGACGAAGCTCTTCTTACTCGACCCCTGGAAGCAGACCCGTTTCCTTATGTTCACCGTCGCGCTTTTCATCATCTTCGTGGGTATGTTCACACCCAACTTCTACCTCCCTACCTACGCCGTCTCCAAGGGTATGGGCGCCGCACTCGCCGGTTATCTCATCGCTATCATCAATGCTACCTCGACTTTCGGCCGTATTGTTCCGGGTATCTTGGCAGACAAGTATGGCAACCTGAACACCTTCTCCATTGGCTCTATCGCCACCGGTGTCATTGTTTTCTGCATGACATCTGCCACTGATAATGCCGGCATCATTGTGTACGCCGTTTTCTTCGGCCTGGGCTCGGGAACTATCATGTCTGGCGCTGCTGCATCGCTGTCCCGGTGTGCTCCCGATCCTAGCGAGGTGGGAACGTACATGGGTATGGGTATGGCTGTGGCGGGTGTCGGTGCCCTGATCGGACCTCCTATCAATGGTGCAATCGTCGGAGCTACAGGCAACTTCTTTGCGGTCTCTATGTTCAGCGGTGCGATTACCGTTGCTGGCGGTCTTTTCGCCTTCACCATCAAGACTACGGACAAGGCTGGTCTCTGGGGCAAGGCCTAATTTAACAATCTCGGAGGTGCAAGCATCGGTACAGAGTCAGCGGGAGATATGAAGCATCAAAATTGGCGGGAAATCAAAGACACGAAGGAAATAATAATACCTCAAAACGAAGGAGACTATGGTGTTGAAACTTTGCAAACGGCTGGGCCTCATGCGTGGCGCATCTATTGTATTAAAGAACACGGAGCAGCATTCACTCCAGCAGAAACCCCATTTCATAGATCAAGATTCCTATTTTCACCATCTTTGAGGCGATGTTGGTTTTGTTGGTCATTCAACGATCAACTAATTGGGAACTTGGCGGGATAACATCAGAAGACAAAATTTCTGTTCATTTATATATAAGTGCGAGACAAAATTCAGGCTTCTGTAAATGAACTTCAAAGACCTCAGCGATCTTCCAGTTAGATGTAATGATGTTTGTATCATTGTTCAGTTTTATCTTTCTTCCCTTCTAACTCTTTCTTCGCAGTTTGCCGCCTGGAGGCGCACCTTATTAACTGCCGTATAACTCTCACGGGGAAATATTCGAGGGCTGCTCACAGAGAAACCTCTATAGCTACCTATAGGGGTATATGAAGAGAGCGCGAATCGCCAGTTTTACTTACCGGGTCCATATTGCCACATCTCAAGATTCTTGAACTTTGAGGAGTGAGGCTGAAATCACCTGCCCACATCGCCGTTGAGCCTAAAGCTTATCGCAAAAGTTTCACTCATTTTTAAATATTATTGTCACTTATTTATTGCGCTGGTAAACATTGGGTTCTTGCCTTGAAGTTTGGTAGTTATTTCCGTAGCTTAGTAAACTTCCTTGGCGAAATCATCGCCAATCTGTCAAAATTGTGTCCCCATCTTGCATTTCCGCCCGCATGCATGCATCTTGCCAAGAACGTTCGTATCTCTCCGCATCAGCCATGGCATCTTTCTCAGACACAGCCAAGGCGCATAGATGAACGCCGTTGACGTCGTCGCCAACTGCGCGAACCACGTCCCGGGCGACCGACCCATCGGCGACATGCATCGGCCAAACGAATGACGCGATCGCTGATAGAAGCCATATGATATTCGAAATCACTGCAAACAATAGCCAGTTCTCTACTCTACCGCTTTCTGAATAGCCAATTTCGGAAATCACCTCTGCTACAGAAATATCGCACAATGCTGGATCAGCAGCTAAGCGACTTTTAAGTTGGGCCCTGGGAGAGTGATTGTCAGTCTCAGCTTAACGTTTTTGGTTGCAACAGTCAACTTACGGCCAGATTCTAGACTCGTACAACTTGGAAGCAGAGTCTTTTTCTTCATCGAGAAGATTTGCGCTGAAGAGAGATTGTGTCAGTGCCGACGCATGCGCACATCATGAATATACTACAGACCTGTCTGGCTTGCTCCTTACTGCTATAATCCTGCCGCGGTTCTTGTCCATGCTTTGCAACAATAAGAGGCACAGAAGGAAGTTAGCTGACTGGTTCTGGTCGCTGGTCAATACCAAAGCTTGAATCGGCGGCATGAATCCGGCTGCCACCCGTTTGTTGATGTCGCTTGCCACTCTTCGAACGGATGCGACGCTGGATTGATCCAGACGCATCGTCTCGTAAGAGTGTTGTGGTCTTGCATTCTCTAGAAGCGTCTTCTTGACATCAGCAATGTCCCCAGCTAAATAGATGCCATGTTGTAGTTGTGCAAGGCCTCGTTGCGAGAGAAATCGACGAAGAATTGAGGTGCCGATCTTGGTATCGGCGGCCGTAATCAACGTCGATGTCTTGATGGAGCCGATTCGATGCATACGTTCAATGTACCAATCCTATTCCAATAAGTGAGCACTTATACACATGCGAGAGATTCTCTTCTTCAGGCTCACCCTTTCCGCACCAACGCCGAGCAGCTCTACTCCGAGCTTCTTGGCCATGTTGCCTTCAGGAACTCGTGTCGCAATTACCATGGCCTCATCATCCGGTAAAACTCTATTCAGAAGAATTCGTCGTGGTAATAGCGGATCCAACACTGACGGTCGTGCAAGTCCAACCAAATCACAGCATCCACCTTTGAGAGCTGCCTCCATTCCCTTGCGTGAGCGGAAGCCGCCTGTAAGGAGAAGAGGCACGGTAGTGAGGGCCTTGCGAATGGCAGTCGAAAAGTCGAGGAAGAATGCCTCTCTCGCGAGAGTGCTAGCCTTGGCGCCCGTGTTTGTGGCGTCTCCAACGCCGGTGCTGAAGGTCGGGTTCTCGAAGCTGCCTCCGCTCACCTCTAGGAAGTCAAGCCCACCGGTTTCGGTGATCAGTCTCAGCTGGTCAATACACTCCGCCAACGCGCCCTTGCTGCCAACGTCCACTGAGTTGATCTTCAGACCAACGCAGAATGTTGCTGGCACAACTTGGCGGATTGCCTGAATAATATCCACTACGATCTTAGCACGCGCAGCAGCACTGCCGCCGTACTCGTCGGTGCGCAAGTTGGTAACCGGAGAGAGGAACTGGGTGAGTAGATACCCGTGGGCGCCATGCAGTTCTACACCGGCAAACCCTGCATCAGCCACGATGCGGGCTGCCCCTGCAAATCTGTTGATCACGTCTCGAATCTCTTCGGCCGTCATCTCACGGGGCGTGCCAAACACGAGCTTATTGAGCAAATTTGGACCAAATGAGTCGCCGAGGTTCATCGGAACAGCGCTCGGAGCAATGGTTCGGCGCTTATGGAATGCGATTTGCCGGCCTGGGTGGCATAGCTGAACAATGGCTTTGGTGTTATTGCGCGAACTTGCGTGCGCCCATGCAGTGTACGCTGCGAGGGTCGTGTGAGAAGGAAGTGTGCTGTCGATAGCAAAGTCGTTGGGTCCACCAAGATGTGCTGGGTCAATCTGGACATTTCCTGTACAGAAGGTCAGCGAGCTCGAGCGAATGATGGTCTCGATGACGCGAAGAGACCGAGAGGTGGTCGAACCTGTGATGACGAGGCCCCAGCCTCCATTTGCCCATTCTCCATACACGTCCAGACACTCTCTGCCTGCGGGTAGATTCCTTGTATCCTTGCGACCCAGTCCTTCTGCCATGGCAGCCTTGACAAGCCGATTGGAAATGGTTAGCCCGCAAGCCAAGGTGAGAGGCTTTTCCAGAAAGTAGTCCATGCCGAATCTACCCGTTCCCTAATGTACTGACGTGATGTTGTTTTCGATATGTGGGAAATCGATTTCTGTTATGGCCAGTCTGATGGGAACTAATGTTGATGAGCTAGGTGTGCAAGATGAATTGCGTCAAACTGTTTAGGTTCTTCCCAAAGGATGATAATTATGAAGCAATTCGGGCACATGTCTAAATCGACTTCGCCCAAGGAGGGACGGTGGCCAGAATTTCCGGTTCAAACCAGATGCGATTCAGCACCCAGGAAAGCCGGCGCAAAGTAAGCCAGTTCACGCCGAGGCAGCCACAGACGCCGTCCACGCATCCCGGGTATTCACTCGGAAAATTAAAGTGGATCCCCGGATCCGACTCCGACATGGATATGAGGTGAGCCGTTTCCGCCACTGATGGCCAGCCCGGGAAATCACTAAGCGTTTTCACCACCTGCGCTAAACTGTCAGCTTACTTTTCGCCAATCATGCCCAAACGACTTGGCCCATTTTCTAAATCTAGGAGGCTCTTATCCCGCAATCCTTGTTATGCGGCTCGGAAGCTAGGCAGCGCGCAGAATACTCCGTCAGGTTGCAGCGCCACCTACGAATATCCCGAGCTCTGCCGCCCTACAAGCCGCTGTCGAATGAAGCCCTGTCAGCCTTTACTCCGCCGCGCAGTAAGACGAGATGCATTGTGGCAGATGTATACTCCGTGCAGGAGCTCCGAATCGTCCGACCCGAGTTCATCTCTCCGGCACGCGATTCTCATCTCGCTCAGCTCAATATGACAAATGATCAAGTTGTCCTCACCTAGAAGGAAGACCCTAATCTTGACATATCTTGGTATATATCACTGACCGATGCAACAACGTAGACTCTTGGATAAACCATCATCACGCCTACTCTACCTCCAATACCGTCCACCACGTCTTCCTTCCGATTACCCAATTATCATATTGCCAGCTCAAAGTGATTGCAAATTTTGCATTGCACGCAGCCATGGTGTCCTTCATTGCTTCCGCGCTACCCAGCACCAGCGAAATTCTGCTTTCATCAGCCGGAATAGCGATTCTTGCCATAGCCGTTACCCTTTACAAGTTCGTCTTCGCGACAAGCGTTTACGATGGCCTTGGATTGCCATTAGCTGGCGAACCGGAGGGTGCCAAGAGCTTCAGCCTCAAGTCTCGCCTCAGATATTATTATGACTGCGCTGCACTATACACCGACGCCTATTACCGTGTAAGTCTGTCGATGACGGCGCATCGAGATAACTTATTCTGAACACCCTCTGACGCCCTTTCTAGTTTGGCAAAGAAGGGAAAGCCGCCCTAGTCCCGGGTTACGGAGGTCGAGCCGACTTGATTCTGCCCGAAAGCTCGACTGAATGGTGCACTGCGCAGCCTGACAGCGCGCTCAGCGTCTCGCAGGCATTCCTGGAAGCCAACTTGTCTTCATACAGTCTCGGTCACTCTCGCTACTGGGGCGACCCCTGGCAATTCCAACTTGTCAAGACTCAGCTGAACAACATGATGCAAAGTCTCATTCCCGCCGTCGACGACGAGCTCGACTACATCGTCCCCAAGACTCTTGGTATTAATACTGAGTGGAAGGAGATCGACCTCGACGAGACCGTGCGCACCATCGTCGCAGCTTGCTCTAGTCGCTTCACCGTCGGCCTCCCACTTTGCCGCAACGAGGATTACCTGCGCCGAACCCTTGCCATTATCGACGGCGTCATGATCACTGCCATTGTCGGAAACTGCCTTCCCAAGATCCTCCTCCCCGTCGTCGCCAGGCTTGCCAGCATCCACACCTGGCACAACCTCAGCAAAATTGCCCAGCACATCACACCCGACTATCACACTCGCCTCGCAGCCCTTGAGAAAGACCCGGACGACCAGCCTCAGGACCAGCTTCAGGTCATGTTGCGCTTCGCGCAGAAGAAGCGACCTCAGGAGATCAACGACATCAAGGTCATCGCCACTCGTCTTGCAGCGTCTAATTTCGTGAGCATGCATCAGACCGCAGGCACCTGTGTTCAGATGCTTCTCAACATCGTCGACAGCGACAAAGAGTTCGACACCATCAACAAGCTCCGCGACGAGGCTAAGACTGCGCTTGCAAGTGGCCCTGGCGGCTGGGAGAAGAGCAAGTTCCTCAAGATGAACGGCCACGATAGCATCGCACGCGAGTCTATGCGCGTGACCTTCCCCTTCGGCAACCGTGGTCTGTTGAGAAAGGTCATGAAGGACGGTATCGTCACTGATACCGGCATTCCCTTGAAGAAGGGCACCATTGTTGCTTTCCTCGCGTCCCAAGCCCAACGTGACCCCGCCAAGTTTGAGAACCCAGAAACATTCGACCCCTGGCGGTTCTCGAACATGCTAGAGAAGCAGGAACAAGAGAAGAAGGCTGCAGGCAAAGCGACAGATGGTGACGATGATAAGTCTTCCAAGCAGGGCGCTTATCACACCAATGCATTTGTGTCTACGTCTCCTGACTATTTGCCCTTCGGCCACGGTCGCCATGCCTGCCCTGGGCGCTTCTTGGTCGATTTCGAGCTGAAGATGATCGTGGCTCACATCCTGAAGCACTACGATTTGGAGTTCCCGGCTGAGTATGAAGGCCGCCGCCCCATGAACAGACAGGTGGCTGAGCTGCAAGCTCCGCCCAAGAACGTTAAGATGAGAGTTAGAAGACGTGCCGAGAGCTCTTAAAGCTTGAGTGGAAGTAACGAAGGGCCAGAACGTACTCGTTTCTGCGCAGTCCTTGTTCAAAGCTACGCTAATCTGACATGAGCCTGGTTGTCACGAAGCTGTAAAATAACCCCCAAATGACCACAAGCGTCAGAGAATGTTATTTCAGATCTACAAGAGTGCTTGCCTGACGTTTGAAGTGTGACTACCCCACACCAGAAGGAAGGCCTATGTCGGATGACTTAATTTTACACTTAGACTCAAGCACTATTTCGTGAAGACCAAAGTTTCTCAAAGAACAAAGTTTCTCAGAGTTTGCGTGAGAAGTCTCTGCTGAATTAAAGTTAAAAGAAGATAAGACTAAAATCGCTATAAATTAGTGAAATGTGACGCCCCTTTAGAACGCAAGTGATCTCTTATGAGGATGTATCTGTAATAATAGGAGACGTAGTCTTCTGAGAGCTCGTAGTGATTAATATTAATAAAGATGTGCTTTTTAGAAGAAACGTTATACTTAACTACCTATATAACCCTTAATCTACTACCTTGAGACCTTATCTTAATTAAGTAAACATAATTAACTATAAAAGACCTTCTAAATATATTAGCTAAAACTTTCATAAAATAGGGGAAACAACTTTTAAATATATTAGTTAAAATCTCTATAAAGTAAGAAAAACAACCTTTAAATTTATTAATTCTCTCTATTCTAAGTAACTTATATATATAGTAAGTCTTTAGTATAAACTGATTGATTAATATATATTATATATAGTATTATTATTAATAATAAGTAGTATGAAATAGAAATTAATTAAAACTAAAACTATTAATTAGAAACTTAAATTTAAATTTAAATTTAAATTAAAACTTAAAGAAATAACTATTTTAATATAAATAATTAGGCTATTTTATATGAAAGACCAACTTTTTAATTTAGAGATTATTAAGGATATAAAAAACTCAATATAAAGTTTAAAATAAACTAAAACTTTTCTTTCCCTTGTTTTCTTTATATTTTAAAAGCTTTTTATATAATATTATAAAAAGAGAAACTTAATGAAAGTTATTATTATATCTTTATTTCTGATTTTTATTTTGAAGTTATAATATTATACTTATACGTATATTAGCTTAATATAATAAATAACTTAATATTTATTACTTATTAACTAAAATATAAATAAGAGAAAAATAAAAAGAAAAAGTACACAAACCATTATAAACTAATATATTAAAACTACTTATAAGAAATTATAAAACCTATTTAGTTTATTTATTTTAAATCCCCCTCTTCTCTCTTTGAATATAACTTTTTTTTAGCTTTAAAGAAACATAATAAAATAGTTAAGTTTTATATTTAGTAAAACTATATTTATTACTTTATTTCTTAAATCTTTATAGTTTTAATATTATATGTATATTGTAATTTTATTATTTAGTTTTATAAAATTGTTGATAATTTATCATAATAGCTTTATAGAGAAAAATACTTACTTTTTTATATTTTCATATTTATTAATATCTTCAATTTATTAATTGCTTATTAAAATACTATTCTATGTAATCTTTATAATAGTGGTTAATCTTTATATTATTAGAAATATTAATTTTAACTATATAAAAAACTAAAAGATATATTATAACTATATTAACACTATTTATATAGGTTTTATTTATATTTTAAGTAATAATAGTTATAGTTAATAAATAAGATATCTTTAAAATACTTAATAATAAGCTTATTAAGTATTTTATTAGGTTCTTTTGAAGTTTTATTAAAATAATTAGCATAATAATAACATAAATAAGCTTTATACTTATAGTTATATTTATAGAATTTATAAAAACCTTAAATATAAATAATATTATATTTAAACGTTTTATAATAGCTATTAAAACTATTAAAGATTATAATAATATTAATATTTTACTAAAAGGTTCTAAGAACTTCTTTATATCTGTTCTGTAAGAATTTATTATAGCTTTAATTTTAGAATATACTTTTTTAAAACTCTTTATTAATTTTTATACCTCTAGCTATTATAATAAATAATCGTATAATATAGCTATTATTATATACGTTATTAAATGTTAAGATAAAAGTTTAATAAATATCTTGAATAATATAAAAAAGTACTTAATAACTTAATATAAAAAGTATTATTATAAAGGTTTTATTTATAATAATATAATAAATATTATTCTTATTGAGCTTATTCTTAAAGGTTTCTAAAGTTATTAACTTAATATTATAATAAGAAATAAGATTGATATAAATAAACTTAATTAAGCTATTCAATTTCTATTAAGTAGCTATCATAATAAGCTAGAAGTAATTATTAAGTTTAAAGTAAAGAATTATTATTATAGTTATTTTGGACAAGGTTTTAGCTATTTATTAATATTATTTAAATAAGAAAGAGTATTAAAGATCTATAAAAAGCTATACTTATTATTAAAGATTCAAAACAAAGAATATTAATATTAACTTAAAGTAAGTTAGTTATTAATAAAAATGAAACAATATAAAAATATAAAAATATAAAAATATAAAAATATAAAAATATAAAAATATAAAAATATAAAAATATAAAAATATAAAAATATAAAAATATAAAAGTATAAAAATATAAAA